AGAGAGAGAGAGAGAGAGAGCGTGTGGTCATGGCGAGTGAGGTGCAGGGAAAGTCCGTCCCCATGGAGGAAGCCTCCTTCGAGATAGCCAGCGGCCGCGGTCGGGCACGGGACGACTTCGACGACGACGGCCGCGTCAAGCGTACAGGTTGGTCTCCAACATTCTCTTCTTCGTTGCAGCAGCAGCAGCTCTTACCTTGACATGGATCGATGGGTGGCTGCAGGGACGCTGGTGACTGCGAGTGCTCACATCATTACCGCCGTCATCGGCTCCGGGGTGCTCTCGCTGGCCTGGGCCTTGGCTCAGTTAGGGTGGATCGCTGGTCCGACAGTTCTCTTGATCTTCTCTCTCATCACCTGGTTCTGCTCCAGCCTCCTTGCGGATTGCTATCGATCTCCTCAGGGCAAGAGAAACTACAGATACAAAGATGCTGTGAGGACGCACCTAGGTAGACACGGATCACAAGCGGGTCATCCGTTTCGGCACACTTGCCATCTTGCTTCATCTCTGCTTCTCTTTCAGGGGGTGTGAGCTCCAAACTGTGCGCACTGGCTCAGTACGTGAATCTTGTAGGAGTCACCATTGGCTATACCATCACGACGGCCATCAGCATGGGGTGATAAGCTTAGCTTTTCCCAGTCGTACATCTCCATGTGAATCCACTGCAGGATTCCTTCTCACCTCCGATACCTGCATGTGTTCAGGGCCGTGAAAAGGTCGAACTGCTTCCACAGGAACGGCCACGACGCCGCGTGCGGGGAGTCCAACACCACCAACATGACCATCTTCGCGTGCATACAGATTGTTCTGTCTCAGATCCCTAATTTCCACAAGATCTGGTGGCTCTCCATTGTGGCGGCCATCATGTCCGTCGCCTACTCCAGTATCGGCCTCGGCCTCTCCATTGCCAAAATAGCAGGTGGGTCCTCCAAAATTAGCCCACTCTCTTCTCCTCGTCTCCATGCCTCACATGCATCCATGTTCCCGCAACGCAGAAGGGCCTCATGCGAGGACCAGCCTGACAGGAGTCACGGTGGGGGTGGATGTCTCGGGGAGCGAGAAGGTCTGGCGAACGTTTCAGGCTCTCGGGGACATCGCCTTTGCGTATGCTTACTCCAACGTTCTCATCGAGATCCAGGTATGCACTTCTGTGCTCCTCCTCACTGACAAGCTTTGTCATCATTGATATGATGATGCTGAATTCTGATGAATGGTTGACAGGATACTCTGAGATCGAGTCCACCGGAAAACCAGGTGATGAAGAAGGCCACCACCATCGGGGTCCTCACCACCACCACCTTCTACATGCTGTGTGGTGTGCTGGGATATGCTGCGTTTGGGAACACTGCGCCCGGCAACTTCTTGACAGGATTCGGCTTCTACGATCCATTTTGGCTCGTCGACATCGGGAATATATGCATCGTCGTCCATCTCATCGGTGCTTTCCAGGTAAACACCTAAAGCTGGGAGCTTTGATTCCTTGATGAAGCTGCATGATGAATTCCGAGACACAAGCATCTATTATCTTTTGCCTGTAGGGTTAACATATTGATATCATACAATAATTTGGAATCATAGACTCGAGTGACAACCTTGCAAACAGCATCATCACAGTTTGCCTGCAGCGATAGGATCAAACATGATCTGCACTGTGAGCCCACCATTGACTAGCTGTGGTAGAGAAACCTTTGACATTTCAAGGGCGTGGTTTTGGTACAGCAACCATGTCCTCCGACACTGTGATGAGTGTCAGATGTGGGTGCACTGGGTAGGAACCTTCAAATCACATCATGCAAAACAAGCTCTCTGACCTCAACCTGACATGTGGATTCACCTCTTCTGCCAATCAAGACAAATCCAATTGAATGATGAACATCAGTAGAGATTGTCCTGACCTGGTCCCACTAGGTGTGGCTTGATGCTCATCCACCAACTAGCACACAGGTTCTGTTCTTGCTGTTGACACATGGGCACCTTCATGCAGACCAGCAACCAGGTCCTGAGGGAGGAACAAAACAATGTTCAGATAAATCACATTAAGATAGAAACTAACATGTCTATTATGAAACAGTTATTCCATTACCCTACAAAACCCATCCAGCCTGTCTATTCAACCACATATGTGAATACCCTAGAAGCACCACCTGAAGTAGCTGATCTATGAACTATGTCATTATAACATCATACAAAACCCCCACTGTGTGTGTCTCTGCAGAGCATAGAAACATTATAACTGGGGTTGTCATGGTTCTCAACATGGTTGCCACAGGATACACACATACATATGTACTACATTGCAGAAGAGTTTCATGTGATCCATCCAAAATATGGATAGCAGGACAGTCTTGCGCAACTTGGTATCATTGTTGAGGTAGCACCAACATCATCACATATAAATCTCATATAATGAATCTTAACACTAGCTTTACAAACAATCAACAAACTGTGTCATGATACAGCCTAAACTTATAGGTTATAATTCAAATTGAATGGGGAAGAAAGTGGAGTTTAACCAGCTAAATCATGAGACTCAACTTGTACCTTAAAGTACAAGCACCTCCAAAATGATTGGCTAATGATATTGGTAAATGCAGGTTTTTGCCCAACCAATTTTCCAATTCATCGAGACTTGGAGCCGGAACCGTTGGCCAGATAATCGTTTTGTGACAACTGAGCATGTGATCAACATTCCTTTGCTGGGTGATTGTCCCTTCAGTCTCTTCCGCATGATCTGGAGATCACTTTTCGTCATCATCACCGCCGTAGTTGCCATGATCTTTCCTTTCTTTAACGATTTCTTGGGTCTAATTGGGGCTGTTTCATTCTGGCCGCTAACCGTGTATTTTCCGGTGGAGATGTACATCGTGCAAGCAAAAATTCGCAGGTTCTCTGCAACTTGGACATGGCTGAAGATCCTGAGCATTGTCTGCTTGATAGTGTCACTGGTGGCAGCCTGTGGATCTGTTCAAGGACTCATTCATAGCCTTCAAGACTACAAGCCTTTCAAGATCTCCTGACAAGGTGGTGGATCCAGTCAAATTTCAGCATGACTTAACACTGGATACAAATAGATTCATAAATAAAGATAGATTTAATGATCACTTTTTCATGTCAGAGGGCATGATGAAGGACAAATGCATGTAACTGGGATATAAGAATGTTGTCTTGAATACTCATAATTGTCCCTGGGGACAAATGACATGTTCTTTTTGCTCTGTGATGTAATATTCAACTATTGAAAGTGAAATATCCTAAGGAGATAGATGTCCTATAAGGAACATCATTTGACTTAGTTACAGAATGCCACTTTTTTACCACTGTCTTCCCACATGTTTCCTACCTTCCATTTCAACTTCTCATCTTCCATGGTGCTAAAGGTGAAGCTAGTAAACAAGTAACTTTTGCTAGTTTTCCAAGTGAAGTGCAGAGAATGTCTTAATGGAACACGAGAAACACATATGAAAGTGACTAAGAAAGTTAAGCGCTTATATCATAGTGCAATTTAATCATAATTCAAGCATTACGGTTGGCTGCTATTTCTAAATAATTTTCCATTCGATTTCTAAGCAACATTGTTTTTGAGCTAAATTGATGAAATATGTTCATACACAAATATGGCATCTCACACAAGGTTGTTTGCAGGTTCACCGACAAGACCAGCTCAGAAACATAGAAGACAATAAATCCTCATACATGAGTCTGACCACTACCTTCTTTATTTCTTTGAAGAAACTGAACCCAAAATATTAATGAAAGGAAAAAAAAGAAAAGCAATGTTGAAAAAGAAGGAGCAAAACCTCAGCTTTGATGCACAATGCACACCATGATTGACCATGAGCACCTTGCTTCCTGTGGTGTCAATCATCACCAATGTACAAATCCCTTTCGTCTTGTTCCTCCTGATGGTCCGGATCATATCTGAGTTGGTATTGAAGCATTTGTCGGTATACTTGGGCTCCCTGGACCAAGCTCGCAGCTATATCCTTGTATTAATAACTTTGGACCTGCAGCAGCTTTAAGAGCTTAGAATCTGAGCCCTGCTCACTAGAACATATCATGATCTATTGAATTTTGGCTGAATAGGAATCAGTATATGGAAATGAACAAGTGACGCAGAAAAGAAAAATATACATTCAGAATATGACACACCTTCACTCTCCACCAAAAGATGACTTTGATCGCTTGAACTAAAATTTCAAACATATTCAATATCAAAGTTGAGGTAAGTTGGTTAGCATCAAACAAAACAGAGCTGCATACTCAACAGAGAAATATTCTTTCTTAGTAAAGGGTAAAACTGAATCCAGTTCAACCACAAGAAGAAGAAGATGGTTTTTTTTATCACTTCTTGCACCAATATACTTTGATTCCATATTTGTTTGTCACAAATATGGGAGTCAGCATTAGCAACAATAACTTGTAAAAGACTATCTAATAATGGTGAGACACAGAAACCATAAGAAAACACCAAAAAGTACTAGAAGATCAGGTGGTAACCATCAAACAATTATGCAAATGGATTCAGTGATCACTGTATGATTTAAGTGTACAATCTTCCTGTAAAATCTTCATGCGACTAGTTGCTTTTCTTGCAATTGGTGAACCTGGAGGCAGCATCGGAGAGTAGAAAAACTTGAGCAAAATTGTTCAGGCTCCATGCAGTTAAAAAGAAATTTCAATGACCAACTAGAAAACTACTACAAGTAACCTTCAACCAAAACACTCTCATTTGAGATCCTTGATTCTAAGTTCTTTAGTTTCAATGAATCATAGCTAAATTCCAATTCTGAGGTCTTTTCTCCTATGTTCCAAAATGAGCAAATCTCCATAACAACCTTCTGTATCAAGTGTTCACTAACAGCATCTTCCAGAAGCTCCGAGAGACATTCGCTACCCCCTGCGAAATCCAACAAAATGCTACACAGTCCACGACGTCCACAGTAATCTAGAATTGAACTTAAGGTAATTTGTTCAAGAACCACCATCTCAATGCCTTCCACTTCAGGCTCCACTTTTATGTGTCTCTCTGCCAGAACTATTATCTTTGCTGCAGAACCTGCTGTCAGTCTTGGAAGGCATAATGAATAACCTGAACCCTTTGCAATCACAATATGAAATGGTTGATTAGCGCCAATCTCATGGGATGTTGGTAAAGTGGAAATTTTGGACAACAAGTCATTAGGAATTAAAATCCCATCATATTCCTGCAGTAACTGCGAGTAATATCCGCCTGGTCCTTCTGCACCTTTTCCAAGTTGTGTCATAATCCTTCCGTTAAATGAGAGAGTATATCTGCACTCATAAAAGCAAAAATGCATATTTAAGTTGTTGAGCTGAAGGGATGAATATGCAAACCAGGAAGTCAAGAAAGGATGAGTGCAAATTTCAACGATTACATTTTTTAACCCTTAATAACAAAAGCAAAATGAAAACAAAGTTTCTTTAGTTATCCTCATCAAATATCACAGGAAATGGCCAAAGGAATATACCCCATGCATCGAACAAAAGATAGGTAGCAATCATATTCAGAATCCAGGCTGGAGGACTAAAACTGGTAGGCTACTAACAATGTAAAGCTTCATGGTATCTTATTACTACTGCTCGTGTTCTTAATTTTTCTGTTTGTGGTTGATAATTAAAAGGAAAAAACTATGGTTCTTATTATATAAATTTTCACATATAAACATAAGCATTGAGTCATTTGTACTTTCTTTAGACTGGACAGGTGGTTAGCCAATTATATGTTAGCCAGTTCCCCCAACAAACCAATCGAACGGTACCTTTTGCAGGAATCACTTCTCGTCTCTCACTAACACATGATATTGGAAGATAACATCAAGGTGATTTCTGATGCACACTCTGATAAGTACATGCAAGAGTTGTGACAAGTTGATTCTTTCTCTCAATGCAATATTGTTATAATTTCAAAGACACGATTGCTTTGTTGCGGTAACTTTTAGTCTCCATTTCATCCATTTATGAAGTACTTACTCTGAGAAAAGATAGGTCAAATGACAACAAACATGGAACGAATGTCTATCTTCATCTAACAGAACCTAAAAAAATTCAAAATACAACTGTGATTTTAATGATTTATTTGGGTTTTGGATAAGGAAAAAGGAAAAAATAGCATGTAATAATTCAGAAATTTACATACATGGGGAACTTCCTATATCAACCTTGTAACAAAGTATAGTTAAAAAAAACCAAACAGAACGTATATCTCAACTAAATTCATGGACCATCTGCTCTCAAAATTACTGTTTCATTCTTGTTAAAATCAGTTTGGAAAGCTTAACTTAATTAGCATTTTTGCAACACTTACAGTCATGCAAATGAAAATTATCATCCTAATCTTGCCAGTGAACTCCTGCATAATGAAGCTAGCACTTCATGTATCTTTTATAGTGAGCAATGAAAAAAGGTCAAAAGAGCACATTGGTCATCTTGATCATCCTGGCAGATAAACCAAACCAGTCCTAATTTTCTTTTCTGAATCAAATATTAATAATTCACTGCTTACCTTAAAGTAACAAAAGGCCTCCCTGTAATGGTTCGATGAATATAAGCCTCATTAAGTTTCTGGCACAACATTTCTTCCACACCAACAATAACATCAATGCCAGAATCTCTGAGCCTATCAACTCCTTTTGAAGCTACAATGGGATTTGGATCAACCATCCCAACAACCACTTGCTTCACTTTTGCACGAATGAGAGCTTCAGTGCAAGGAGGAGTCCTCCCATGATGGTTGCAAGGTTCGAGGCTCACATATGCTGTTGCGTTCTCAGCCAAAATTCCAGCATCTCTTAGGGCAAAAACCTGCAGGTCATATAAACCTAAGAAGAGTTTGAACAAGAGGAAAGAGAAAGCATGCAGATATATCCTAACTCCGAGGCACACGGTTCATATTCATTCGAGTATTTTGTAAGGGCATGAACATTTACCCAAGAGTGATCTTAATGCATATAACCCAATAGCATCAAGCAAAACAATGAGAAGAAAATATACAAAGAAGCTAACACAAAATAAAGAGTCAAGCAATATAAGCTCTTAAAATTTGATTAAAATAAATAAACAAAGAAACAGAAATTGCCAAAGCAAGCATAAGCCCATAGGCTACTGTATAGATAGGCAAACCGAACAAATCTGAAAAGTTCGCGTAAAGAAAAACTATCAAAGCAATCAGGACATCAACAAAAACGTAGTGTAATGTATGCTTGAATATGCAAAACAAAAAAGGAAACAAAAATGTGCTCAGAGATTAGAAGAAAATATTCAGTTGATACTAAACGTGACCACACTATTACACCAAGCCAGAAGTAAAAGTCTACTTATGGTCAGCAAATTAAAGGGGAAAAATAATTGCCATCAGAATCGGTCAGTAAAACCTTTGGAACAATACAAAATCATCTTCCGACGACAGCATTAAAGCAGCGTATTACAAACAGAGTGAGGAAATGCACTACATTGCATTTTCCCTTCAATCGAATACATCAAAAGGTATGACTTCTATAGAACTGCGGCGCATTAAATAGCTAAATTTACGAGGGAAAAAAACCTAAAAAATCAAACACCAGAACGACATCAAATCTAACAAAAAGAACACTTCCCGTTGAAATTTGAACCAGAACAGGAAAAAAGAGGCATCTTTATCGAAAAAGAGAGATGCAATCGGATGGATACCTCAGCGTGCGGCTGGCCAGCTTTGGGGTGAAATCCTCGACCGACGATCTCCCCATCCTTGACGACGACGCAGCCCACCATGGGGTTGGGAGAGGTGCACCCGACCGCCTTCCTAGCCAATTCCACACACCTCCTCATAAAGAACGCATCGTCCTTCTTCTCGCATCTGACACGGACGATCGCACTGCCCCCGGCCCTCCGCGGGCCGGGAGACCAAGAACTGGACTCGAGACGACGGCGGAGTGCATCGGCTCCGAGATTGGAGCTTGTGGGCGACGAAATTGCCCGGAAGTAGAGGGCAGAATTCGCCATTACCCACTCGACGATGATAGAATGCCCTCATGTTTCGGGGAAACAATACGCGGGCGCCCGTAACGGGTGTAACGGTGGCCGCATACCGTTACATTGACCGTGATGAACCGTTACGACACTGACTATATTGGCGACCACACCGTGACGTCATCATAATCGATGTTGATCGAATCATACGTCATCCGATGCGATTTGGGTCGGATCCAACATGGATCTAAGATACTCGTGGGATCTAAAGGAATGGCAAGTTTTGCCACAACAGACATGACTTTGTGCAAGCATGGATTAATAGTCTTTCATTACAGCCATCATGCAAAAGAATGAAGCCTCCTTATGCAGATCAATATCTACCCAAAAAAATTATATTAACTCACTCCATAATACAACATTAAAAAAAAAATTGTTTTCCAAAATTTTATTACATGGAACTTAATTTTGATTGCCTATTGTATACATCTCAGATGACTTTGAAATGATGCTTCATCTGCAAGCAACACTCTTGCTGCAAATCCAAGCCTTTTTGAATCACCAATCACAGTTGTGTTATCAGCAAAGGCAATATGATCTCTAAGCACTTCAGCAGACATCCACACCAAGAACAAGTGTGGGGATCGATCGAGACGTGCGACCCGAAGGCAATCATGCAAAGCTTTATTGCTGGTTTGTCGTCAGGGCCATCCATGCATGATCACCACTGCTTGCTAGCTTCCACATTAGCAGTCAAGATGGTGTGTGTGTGTGTGGTTGGAATGACAAGAAGGCATTTGTCTGAGCATCTCACTGCAAATTAACTTGCAGTGTAGCTTCTCCCATGTTGGTTTACCTCATCGACTCGATTCAGCGGAAGAAGACAAAGGGGAAGGTCACAGTTCTGTAGGCCACAGAAGCATGAGAATATGTTGGTCGTGGTTATTACAGTGTTCGAAGTGTCCTCTTAGGATGCGCTAAATGTGGTGATCTTTCTTCTACCAGCTATATATATATATATATATGAAGATGGTGGTGTCAGTAGTATGCACTCCATAATGGATTAATGGCCGCATGCACAGCCCACCTTTTTATTTGAATATTCATTTGGAGTTTAGTCCTTTATTAGATTCTGCTACTTCCTGAGTTCCTCCATAGATTCAGGTCAAAAATCCATTGCATTTACTATATGTATATTATATGTTAATGAAAGACATTAATTGTTACTAAGAGTTTGACTAGTGAGTTGCTAGCTTTATATGTGGTGAGCAGCTATAGAGGTGCTATGTAAATGCTCTTCAAGTCTATATCTACGACTGTGATATGCTTGATGTATACAAGGATCAACAGATGGAGCATGTGATCCGAGCTAGGCTTCTAGGGAGAGAAGGGTCATCTCGTGTGTTTTCTCCCTCACTGAAGTGATTGGATCCTCCCACTGCAAGTAATGATCGAGTAGGATGGCATGCAGTGGCTTATGGCCGAAGAGAAGAGATGGTGGAGCAGAGAGAGAGAGAGAGAGAGAGTGTGAGT